TTGACCACTTATCTAGATTATTTGAACTGTTTGTCAAAGACTAAACAAAATGGAGATTCCAGACCCTAACCCAATTTTGTTTACAATGAATTTGTCTGGGGATGAATTCTGGGACTCTCTGAATGATTGTTACATATACCCAAGTTTATCCATTTATCACAATCTCTGAATATTATTGCATATACCCAAATTTACCCATTTATCACAACCGTCTTTTTTTCCCTATAATTTTTATTGCCTCTCCCTCTAAGCATCCAAGGAGAAAATATCTGTGTCAATAAAGTGTCTGCATTTGGTTTCTAATCCAAAGAGAAATCTTCCTAACAGCTGTAGAAGTTAACATTTCCTCTTACCTATATGACTTCTGAAGAGAAGTCTAGTAGAGTTTTCCTAACAGTTGTTTGCATGTATTCACTCCCCTTTTAACTCAAGTCTGTCGATACTAGAACATGTCCTCTGTATCTACATTATAGTTGGAAATTGATTTTTGTTGCTTTAGTGGTGGTGATTTTGAGACAGGATCTCCCTGTAGACCAAGCTGGCCTTGAACTCAAAGAGATCTGCCTGCCTCTGCCTCCCAAGTGCTGTGATTAAAGTAGAGAGCCACCACGCCCAGCCTTTGTTCCTTATTTACTGTTTTCTTTTACATTATATTTTAGTGTCAGATTTTGGTTCCTTTAATGATTTCTTCACTTACATAGTTGCTTTAGGGCTTACAATATTTATATTTAAATTTTTTAAAATATATTTTTAATTGAATTTTGGTGGATTTCATACATCTTAATCATATTTAGCCCCCCCCACCCTTCCTTTTCCACACTTCCCAACTCACAGGACTTCATGCATTTTGTCAAGTTTGTGTACACAGATGTCCCTTGGTTTGAGTCCATGCACTGGAGCCTGTTCAGCATGTCTAGTGTCACTGGGTGAGGGAGTGTTGATCTTTTTTTTTAATAGTCTTTTTTTTTTGGTCTTTTTTTTTCAGACAGGGTCTCTCCCTGCAGCCCCAGCTGACCTGGAACTCACTATGTAAATCAGGCTGGCCTTGAACTTACAGAGGTTACCTGTCTCTGCCTCCCAAGTGCTAGTATTAGCACACACCTGGCTCAGAGTTGATCTTTTAAGGCTTACAGTATATACTAAGTTGCCACAATTAACTTCATATTTACACTAATTTGATTCTAGTAAATACATAAATAGTATTCCTCCTTTTAATTACCAAACTGCGCCTGGCTTAGCTTTATGTCTTATAAAGACTCTGAGTTAGTTGGGTCTGGGAAGATGGCTCCATAGGTAAAAGTGCTTGCTGCATAAGCTGGAGGACCTGAATTTGGATCCTAAGCACCAACATTAAAGCCAGCTGTGGTGGAGTTAGGGAGTAGATACAGGTGGATCCTGGGGCTTGCTGGCCAGCCAGCCTAGCCAAAACAGTAAGTTCCAGGTTTAGTAGGAGACCTTGTCTCACAAAATAAGATGGAAAGCCGGGGGCATAGTGGTACATGCCTTTGATCCCAGCACTCTAGAGGCAAAGACAGTTGTATCTCTGTTAGGAGTGATGCTTATTGACTTGATTGTTCCTTCTGGCTTGCTCCTCTACCTTTCTTATATAGCCCAGGCCCATGCGCTTAGGGATCATACTACCTGCAGTGGGATAGGGCGTCCTACAGCAATCAAAAAATGCCCCACAGACTTGCCCATAGGTCAGTCCGATGGAGGCAGTTTCCTAATTGATCTTCCCAGGTATGTCTAGCTTTGTGTCATGTTGACAAAAATTTACCAGCATAAGGCTCAGCAGCAGTACTATATGCATGTTATTTGTATACAGTTGCTTTTTAAATCATTTGAGAAAGAGGGTGTACTTATACTATTTAATAATTATATATTTACCTTTATTTATGCACTTTTGTTTTCCCCTATAGTTGAATTACCTTCTGGGGCCACTTTTGTGCTGAAGAGCTTCCTTGGTATTTCTTGTAAGAATACCAGGTTTGGTAGTCACAAATTCTATGTCTGTTCTATTTTTGTTTTTCTTCTTTTTAAAATCTCTTTATATGTGTGTGCGTAGGTCAGTAGACAGCCTGGTTGTTGGTCTACACCATCTACCTTGTTTGAAACATGGTCTCTTCTTGTTTGCTACTGCTGCATATGCCAGGTTAGCTGGCCCATGAGCTTCCAGGGATTCAGGGATTCTCCTGTTTCTGCCTTCTATTCACTGTAAGATTAGTGGGATTCTAGGCAGCCTCAGCTCTACTTGAGTTGTGGGGATCTAAACACTGGTCTTCACGCTGGCACAGCAAGTGCTTTACCTACTGAATCAACTCTCCAGGAGGAAGTTTTGTCCATGCAACCTCAAGTCAATGATCCATTTTTTTTTTCCTTTTCATTACTGGGAATTGAACCTATGGGTTCATGGTCATGTGAGGCAAATTCTTCACCACTAAGCTACAGGCATGAGCCCCCCGCTTCATTTTTGAAGAGTTTTTCTAGATAAGAGATTCTTATTTGGCAGCTTTCTCTTTAAATACTTTATGCCCCAGGGCTTCCACTGGTCCTGATTAAAAGTTGACTGTAACTCTCCTCTGGGTTTCTTTTGATGTGACAGGTTATTTTTCTTTTTCTGCTCTCAAGACTTTTGCTTTGTGTTTTTCACTGACTTACTATGTTTAGGGGTAATTCTCTTTACCTTTGTCCTTAGAATTGTCAAGTTTTTGTTATTTAGGTTAATACTGTGTGTGTGTGTGTGTTGCTGAGAATTGAACTTAGGGCCTTTTACGTGGTAGGCAAATGCTTTACTACTGAACTATATACCTAGTCCCTTAGGCTCATTTTTAAAAATTATTTATTTAATAACCATATGATTAGAAGAAGCATTTCATTATGGCATTAACATATTCAATAACAATTTCCAGAGCAAAGATGCATCTCTTTCAATATTGGCTGTAACTTTTTAGGTCCACAGTTGAATTAATACAGTTACACAATATTGAACTCAGCACAAACCCTATAAGACATAAAATTGAATGAGGGTTTAACCTTTAAAAAAATCTCCAATCTCCATTTCATTTTAAAATACACTGTTTCATACAGAAAAACTCATTTTTAATGCTACTAACATTTAGATGTTTTCATATATGTCTCTAATCTCTTATGTACCTGATTATTACTAGTCACAGTCGGTTACTTTCTGAGGTCCACCTGAGCATGCATATAAAATCATTGGGTAGATTTCAATGGTAATGTGTTTCACCTCTACTAATTAACATGGAGCAAATTTTTATGCTTCTTTCTCAAATATAACTTTTTTATTTGTTGATTTTTTGTGTGTGTGTATTTCATACAGAACATCCCAAACAATCTTATTGCTCTATATACCCACATCCCAAATGGCACTCTCCCATAGTCTCCCACCACCACTGGAGCCCATATACTCTGTAATCCCTAATACTGTTCACTGTGTTGTCGGCACCTCCAGCCATTCTCCAGTGCTTGTGCATCCGCTGAATCTAGTCAGCCTATCTAGAGTTCCTTGTTTTAGGAAGATCGACTCTTCTTCATTTAGCAGAAATTAGTTGCCAATATTCCTTTAGATAAGATTGGGGTCTGCTGTTCATTTTCCAGGTTCTATGCTGGGTTACTGTCTGGGAGTCTCTGGGGCCACCCTGGCCAACAACTCAAAGGAAGGTATTTCCTGTCTGGCATTGTTTCTTATTATAAAGCTTTTAGCTGTACACATGGACTCTTAAAGAATTATATTGATCCCTTTAATCTTTGGTTATACTTTCCTTTTGGGTGTTTAAGACCATACAGTTGGCTCAGATAAACCAATTTATTTTTACTCTTTTTTTTTTTCTATTCTTTGAGACGGGGTCTCGTTTAGCCCCAGCTGTCCTGGAACTCACTATGTGGACCAGGCTGGCCTTGAACTCACAGAGATCCACCTGCTTCTGCCTCCCAAGTGCTGGATTAAAGGCGTGCACCACCACACCTGGCTATTTTTACTCTTAAGGCCATTTGAAGATCTGTTCCTCAGCAGTCACATGGGCCTGGGAGGAGCCCCTGGCTTCCTTTCTTTAACCAGTTCCATCTATGTGAAGATAAGTCAAAGGTCCTACTTGACCATGGCTGGCTTCACTTGGAAGCACAAAGGAAATGTTTCCTCTATATTGACCCTCCTCTTTGTAG